CTCCTCCTCCTCCTCCTCCTCCTCCTTCTTCTTCTCTTGTGAAATTTTTATTACGTCGTACTGAGTGTTTGGTGACCAGTTTGTCTTTGTTTAAAAATTATCAAGAAGGCTTGTGCAAGGCTTGCACCGATGATCATGTATTAATACTTGATAGATTGTCATATAACACGTTATGTTGGCAGCTTTTATGTTATTTGATCCACACGCTTACAGGCAAGTGTTGAAAAGTTTTGATTCCTCGGTGATTTTCATTGTGTTGAGTCTGCAAAAGTACATAGACCTAACGCGTGTCGTGAGTACATTAAACATTCTTTATGTGCTTTTCATGCTCCCATCGGCACAGTTGAGACACTTTAGGAGGCGGGCTAATCACTACAGGCGCCGGAGCGTCTTGAGTGTGGAGAAACACATCGATGCCACAATGCTCATTTAATTCAGCAGGGAAAAAAGAAAGCCAGGCAGAAGCAAAAGAGGGTGATTAAAAGAAGTATAACCTACGAGATTGGCGTTTTGACGTTTGTGGTGTAACGGTCAGGCACTTCGATGTCTCTCACACAGGAGACCCAAGTTCGATTCCCAAGTGGGGAGAATTTTTCATCGAGTATGTCATTCTTTGTGCTTTTATTTTTACTCGGATGTTGTGTCCCCCTCAGCTCGGGCTGGCCCTGACAGGCAGGGTCGGGGAGCCGCCTGCTAAATTATCTGAATTGTGTCGATTGGTGCGTAAAAACACACAGTGAGTAAAAACACCTGCATTTAACACACAACCCCCGCCCCCCCCCTTTCGCAACAAAACAACCTGTCAGTGACGCCATTCACCCATCCTCTAAAACGTGTCTGATGTAGCAACAGCTCACCTTCTCGACACACGCCAAAGAAGTTTGTTTCTCTCGCTCATCTTCAGCTCCGAGATTCCCCCAAGCCTTTGTCTGTAGCACACGCTCACCACTCACGCCCACATCGGCGAGCGAACACAAGCTCACGCAACTGGAAACTTTTTTGGTCTCTTTGTCTTTTGAGGAACACATGGCATATCCATGTTCCCAAACTGTGGCCACATGGGTTTCTTTTTAAAATGTTTGTGTCTTTACACCCCCATCGACACAGTTTAGATAATTTCGTAGGCGGACTTCCGACCCTGCCTGTCAGGGCCAACTCAGGCTGAGAGAGATGCAACATCCCAGCAAAAAGACCCAAATACTCAACAGAACATTCTCCCCACTCGAAAATCGAACTTGGGTCTCCTGCGTACGGCAGCGAAGAGCCAAACTGCAGCACCATAGACGCTGGTCGCCATGTTTTCATCTGGTACTATTTTTCCTTTGCCTTTAAAAATGCACTTCCACGATCCCAAACCTTGGTTTACGGAAAAACTTTGATATCTCAACAAAGTGAAATTATTATGGTAATTTTACTTCTCTCATGGTACGTTCAAAACACTTTTCACACCCCAAAAGTAAACAATGACAATCTAGATCTAGTACTCATTTCAGTTTCTTTCCGTGAGTTTATGTTCGAATTGCTCAACATTTTATTGTGTAAACATTGTTCTTAGGTACAAGTATTACCGACTTGTGAGGCATGGGCTGTTTTAAAAACTAGTTAAGGCATCATAAGTGAATTAAAACTCTTTTCGTGATCGATTACCCATATATGTTTGTATGGGTGGTGCGCCGACAAAATGTGCTTTTCTCGGATTTAACTTAAAAAAACGTCCATGTTTTTTACGTACAGCCAAATCGGCACAGTTTTGATAGTTAGGAAGGCGGGCTTCCGAACCCGGGCTGAAAAGGAAACAACACTCCAGTAGAACGACTGAGAAACTCTTAAAATTTTTACCCTCTCGGGAATCGAACTCAGGTCTCCTGCGTGCGACAGCCAAGCGCCTAAACGCTACAACACATACACCAGTACGCCAGCTCAGCTATGACCCGTTTAAGACGACAATTGGACGATGAACAAAACACGATAAAAACATAATTAACCGAATACTTGTAAAACTTCAGCAGCCGTAGAAACGGAATTTAAATCATCCTAAGAGAGTTGCACTTCTTGCTCCCGCTTTACTTGAAGCTCCCCTCGCGTAATTTTGAGGCCAATAATTAAGTGAAAACTTTGATAATATTGTTCGGATATGTTTTCTGCTTCATTTCAGCTGGAGTGCGTAGTCGTAAAAAGCGGCATTATAAAAGCTATGTTTTGTTTTTAACCAGAAAAATGTGAACTCTTTCTCAAACACGGTTTGCGCTATTCACGGGCGTCATTTTTTCATGTAGTCAGAGTTTTACGGCTCTTACAATACAGGTCATATAAGTACCGAAAATAACAGTTTGTTACAAAATAGTAACATACAGAGAAAAGAAGGAGGGCAGAAGACGATAGACGTTTGATAGGAAAGAAGGAGCAAACCACATCGGAGCATTCGAGAACCACTCATCACGGCCTCCAGAACACTAATATAATGTCGTATAAATGACAAAAATGTACCACTCATATTATGTAATGAAGTAAAGAAATACTGTAATCAGACATGCATCTATCATTAAAATATAACTGGGAACGGCGGGGTGGGAACAGTTCTCCAAGCAGCGTGCACATCAGTACATAAAACTTTAACCACAGTCCGTGGTATTAAAAAACCCAGACAGCATCCAAATAACTTCAAGAATGTTCCTATTCTTTTTGTAAGAGTTTTACGGCATTTGCAACACGTTAACGTCATATAAGTGCCAAAGATTAGAGGTGTTACTAGAGAGTAACATACAAAGAAAAGAAGGAGGACGGGTAAGAGCGATAGACAATAACATTTGATAGAAAAGATGGAGCAAACTCCACAAGAGCATTCGCCAACCATTCACACTATAATATGTTAAAAGTTGAACCTTAGTTGATTAGTATAAAAAGCCACCCCCCAAAAAAGAAACAAAAAACCCCGAAACAAACAAAACCCCCCCCCCCCCAATCCAAAACAATCTTATTTTGAGTTTTAGTAGAGCCTTTCAGGCACTCGCAACGGCATAAGGCCATATGGGCGCCAAGGGTTGGATGTCAGCACAGAAGTCTTAAAAGGGAATCAGACTTACTGTGCTCACCTCTCTAGTTTCATCAGCACAAAGTCTTCTTCGACTATCAAGGCGCCCCGGAAATAGTGGGTCACAAGAGTGTGACAAACATGCAAAAGAAGTAGAGGAAAAGTGACGATAATAAGGATTAGGAAAGAAAAAGCAGCAGTTCCCTGTTGCAGTTCAGGCATAGTTATGAGCATGACTCTGAGGAATCAGCCCATTTACAATTCTACAGTGAATAATAAGAACAGGTTAATGTTCCCCTTTGGAAATGGCCTAAAGACACTTCAGTCAGTGGCACCGCCCCGGGAGGGGGTGGGGGTGGGGGGGATTTCAAAACAAACCAGGCGCTTTTCAAAATACTGAAATCTAAGAAATTGACATTTCCCAGTCCTTTGGGCAATTAAAAAAATCTAATTAGTATTCTTTGGGCTCAGCACCTTCTATGTCTATTTAGAAAGATATTTATCATTGAATTTTACTGAAACACGTTGATCAAAGGCACACAAAATGTAAATTTGCAGTCTCCAAGGACACATAAGCTTTGGAAGTCACCAAACTTTGGCGGCCATTTTCTTGATTCAAGTCCACGCAACTTCCCTCAATCCCAGATGACTACGTTTCAAAAGTAAAACAACGCACAACCTTTAAGACGATAGCAGTTAACTAACTCAATATGTCCAAAAATTGACGAGCGCCTGATTCCACAGTGTCGTGATACCTATAGCCTACTATTCAAAACCCCCTTTTGGAGCAACTTATTTCTGCACAGATAGGCAGAGACATGATTTTTATAAATCTTACAAAGACACCTGAAAGCTACGTGAAAGACATCCAAAAGCTACATACAAATCAAGAAACAAAAAAGTAAGCCCTTACAAAGACATTATGTACTTACAAAGACACATAAAAACAGCACACTTATAAAAAGACGGTAACACTAAATCCTCAACAAAAAACAAATTATAGCTCAGACCCTACAAAGCTATTATTATGAAAACGTTCGAACAAACATACATTAATGACACACTCTTACATATTTACGGTAAGTCCTTACAAAGACAAATTAGGGAGAATTCCTTACCAACACATTACGACTACATCTATTTAAAGCCATTGAGAGCAAGTCCTTATAAAGACACATTAAAGCGACTTCAAAGACACAGTAAGGCAACATACTTTTTTATAAAAACCCAATAGGGCTGGGTACTTTAAAATACATATTGACGTATATCCCTAATTAGAAAGACACATGAAGGCTATGTTCTTAAAAAGACAAACCGAGTGTCCATACCAAGAAAGACATTCAGTCAGTTGTGGGTGGGTGCTCTGTTGTGCTTTGCTCCTTCTTTGCTATCAGATAGCTTTATCTTCCTTATCTTCCCTCCTTTTTGTGTTTGCTACTCTCTTGTAATACCTCTTATCTTCGACACGTATGTAACCTAATTGTGTTTTGCAAGTTCCGTAAAACTCTTACTAAAACACACATTATTATTATTATTACAAACTAAAGACACAAAGGCCACGCAGTTCCTACCTTTTGAGGAAGGCCATATTCTCCTCCCTCCTCTGTAGTCCGGTTTTCATCATAATGGCCTGGAACACTCGCCTGTCCAGCACCCATAGCGTAGTGTGGGTGACCGCTGAGGACAACAGGGTGGCTTTGCTCATCTACTTATTTATGACAAGTGGGCACGAGAACGTCTAAAAATAAAGGACACATCCTTCTGGGATAATAAAGTATTATCTTATCTTACCTTATCCTATCTTATCTTATCTTAATAGCATGCAAACGTAATATAAACAAGTAGCTCTGGGGTTTATAGTTGATACAATGCTACGGTCAGATCCTGCCCAATCCAAACCCCCAATAATAAAAAAAATAATAATAAAATTGCAAATTTGTGTATCGGTTTTAACCTTTTTTGCAACACTGTAAGGTTACTTGAGATGCTTGTCCACCCCATGCTTTGCTATGCTACAAACAAAAGTAAATTTTTTTGTTGCTTTATTGTGTCTTTACATTTCTTCTTTGAGATTGTTCCAAAGACCATATTAATTCTGACTAACAAACGTAAAGTTGCCTGCCAGGAACAATGCCGATTGCATCTCCTTATCTATGTTATTTTCTATTCTCGTAACCCCCCCCCCAAAAAAAAACAACAAAAAAAACAAACAACCAACAAACAACAAACAACAACAAACAAACAAACAAAAAAGAAAAGAAAAGAAAGCAGTCTAGATTACTAGAAAAGTCTTTGGTTTGCGACCACACTTCAGTTGACTGACCTTTCACGGAGGCGGTCCGCTTACAGTTGTACAGTATGGCGAGCTCGCCGAAGAGGCCCCCGGACTTGATTTCTCCCAGCCTCTTGTCCTCCTTATGCACCTCCAGGAGACCATCTGTAAACACACAGAAACATACTCAAGTTTAGTTTTTCGTGAGAGTTTTACGGCCCTTGCATCACAAATAGTTCATGAACGTGCCAAAGATTAGAAGTGTTACTGGAGACAGATATACAAAGAAAAAAGAAAGGAGAGATACGTATGATATATATTTGATAGGAAAGACAGAGCAAACCACACCGGTGCACCCGCCAACCACCTATGAAACAGATTTGAAAAAAACAACAAACAACAACCAAAAAAAACAACAAAAAAACACGACTGGTAGATTTATCGTTAAAAAAAAAGAACGCACCTGCCCCACAAAGATACTTTAACAATACTTATATGGCACGACTTTTTTCCTCACTGGGAGTTCGCAAACTCTCTTCGTGCGTAAATAGAACTTAGGGTTTTCGCATACGACTGCAGAGTGCCTAACCGCTATATCATAGACGCAGATGTAACTTTTTTAATGGACACAAAATAGCCCTCAAATCGTAGAAAAGCATCGAACGCTACGACTGAAATTATGCTGGCCCTGGCACTAATTTATTTTTGCAAGACACATCTGAAATTGTTTTTACTATGGTTTTTAAATTTAAGCTCTCATAATGCCAGGTCAGATAGAAAGGGAGCCTTGAAAGCTCTCGAGAATAATCCAGTTTCAAGAACACCCATTTCTGGATTCAAACCAGGGCCATAAGCATCACATGACAGCATGAAACATACTGTACTGTCGGTGATTTGTAAATGTAAGCGCGTATATAGTTTAAACACCCCTTCCCACACTGTTAGGTTATTCTAGGCGGGACATCCAATTATAAAATCCATCTCCAATAGGACCGAATCAAATGAGCTGAGAGCATTTGATAACTAAACAAAACAACCCGAGTTCAAGTCGGGGACTCGAATCAGGACAGTCCGCTCCGAAGTCTAGCATGATGAGTGATTTGCAGCAGAGGTCACATAAAAAGGATGTATTGTAATATGGGGCGCTTATTGGGAGATCGGGTCGGGTCGGGTCGGTTTGCTAGCCAGATTGAGCGCGTAAAGCGGCTATCGTGGCACAAGCCGATCGCGCCCGACTCGTCGTCTAAAAAAAAAAATCAAACCGCGTTAAATTTGTTTTCAGGCAACGAGTGGGGCGATCGCCTCGGACCTGACCCGACCCGACCCGACCCGACCCGACTCGATCCCATCCGCAATGGGCACCCCGTATAAGGCTGAGTCAGATGAACCTCTAGACCTTGTGGCACTCTTTATGGGGTTGAGGGGGGGGAGGGGGGTGATACACAACACTTTTGATAATAGCAATGATAGTAAATAACAAGATGGGCCACTCAGCCAAAAAAGTGTCCGCAGGAAGTATGCTCTTTGTTTCAGATGGCGCTGCAGTCTGTTTTGAAGCTCTCTTTCGTTTTTCCAGAAGAAGAATAGGAATAGCACCTCCTTGCGTGCGCAGATCGACTGCTGTTCATCAGCAGTTCGGGTACGTTCAGTGCGGAGTTTTAGGTTTTTAAAATTTTATTGACCTCTCGCCTTTCATTCTAAAGTCAAATTACACGAAGAAAACTATCACCCTTTCCTCCGGAAGAGGTTTTTTGTCAGGGTAACCATTTAAAAAAAGGGTTCTTCCGAAATTTATCCCAAAACTTGCTAGTTTCACTTTGATTTTTAAAACTCAAGTAGGGTAACTCTGTTCGCAAAGAGTGCGCTTTTGTGAAGAGGGCGCCACAAAATTTTGAGGACACTTTTTTAATTGGCTCAAAGAGAGAAGTGGCCCATCTTGTTATGTACTATCTTTGATAATAGTTTCACGTTTTTCTCTTAAACCGATGACGTCACTCGGATGTGACATGCACATATAATTTAGTTGGACGAAACTAAGCCAATTAACACACTGCGGTCTTTCCTTCCTGATCTGATATCCAAAGCGCGGGTACCACAGGTGATAAACTGTGCTAACTTTGCTAATTGTCTCTACAAAACCGGGGCATAAATGCTGAGATGATACACTGTTATTGTTCTCTCTGAACTGCCTGAACTCTACACAAACACGAATGAAGCATTGAGGTCATGAGAGCTGTAGACAGTAAACCGAGTATAAACTGGGTTAACGAATATGTTTGTTGTTTTTTTAAAGTACGGCGCTCGCAACTGCATAAGGTCATATGAGCGCCAGACCATTAGAGGTGCTACAAGAGACAAACATAAAAAAGAAGAAGGGGAGATAAGGACGATAGATGTTTGAAAGAAAAGAAGAAGCAAACCACATTAGAGCACCCAAAGAATATGTGCACGCGCATGCACATACACACACTCACATACTCACACAACCACATACGATTGCACAATACCCTCTCAAAGACCGGTATACACTCACTCACTTGTCAGTACGCACTCGCAAATGTACCCCCCCCCCCTCCACCATCTCCGCCGCTCTGCACTTTCAGTGTCCCGCTATCCCACCTCCCGGTCGTTCCATCATGTACTATAGGGAATCTTGCTTTTCATGGGAGCACACGACTACACGTAAGTTGACGCGTTTTACCCTTGGTAACTTTTCCGATAAGAACGATAAGATAATACTACTGCTTAAGGGCAGACCGAAATAACTGCACATTCAATGAATTTGAGTAAAATGCAAGAAGTCAATGCACAGTCCACAATGGGGCTGACCTCAGTCACTTGCGTTGCCTTGCCATTTAAAAAACCCAACGATTTCTATTGTAGATCCGTCGTCCTGTCTTTGACTTAGAGGGATATGGGAATGACTAGGGAAAGCAAAATTGTATCATTCATTTATTCAACAAAAAAAAAAGGAAAAAAAAAAAGAAAAGAAAAAGGGAGCGTTTGGTTCTGAGGCTATTCTCGCACCCAGAACACGAAGATGTTAGCACGATAAGAATTGCTGTTTACAGGCTAAAAGGTTAAAATTTATGTGCATTTATGTACGATCACACAGTGCATGATTTGAACGCCATATCCGCACCGTTTTAAAAAGAAATGTAGGTGCTTTTTTACATCCATATTGACACAATTTTGATCACTTAGGATGCCGGCTTCCGACTCTGCCTATCAGGGCCAACCTGGGATGAAAGGGATGCAAAATCTCAGCAAAAAGACCTAAATACTCGATAAATATTTTCTCCTCCATTCAGGAATCGCTACCTCACAGTATGATTACAGACGCCGATGCGGCAACAGTGCTTTCTTTGTTTCTTTGAGTAAAGAGATGCACATCAACAAAATTATGGTAACTTAGTGTTGAGAAAAAGTAACATAGAAACAACAGTGGGAAAATAAAGAAGTAGGACCTACCAGTGGCACCCTCCAACCAGCAGCAATAGCAGTGTGTCCCATAAAAAAAAAAAATCTCTTTAAAAATTGAGTCAACGTCTGTTTCGACTTTCAGGGTACCCGGGGTATAGTGGGTCACAAGAGTGTGACAAACATAAACATACAAAAGAAGTAGAGGAAAAATGACAATAGTAAGGATTAGGAAAAAAAGCAGCAGTTCTCTGTTGTAGATCAGGCA